GCAGACTGGCGGATGCGGAAATGGGGATATAGGTCATTTTCAATCCAGGTATGGCTGCTGCAGGTCCAAGACTATGCAAGCTGTCGGTTTTGGTTGTGTGCGACATGCTACCTGCAAAGGAACAGAAAGCTGTCGGGTGCAGGCAGATTGTGCTGCAATCACAAGCGCAAGATGCAAAACCGCAAACTCAGCTTTGGGCAGGGCGGCCGTGCGCGACGGAATCGGTAAGAAGGCACCCGACTCCCTCAAGGCCAGTTGCTGATGTTTAAAACACGGGGCACTGTGCCAAGCCTTAAAACGGGGCCCTCGAGTCCTGGATTTCTTCATTGGCAGGCATCATCACATCAAACTTTTTGTTGCCCGGTCCAGCGTCCAAGCACACTTCATTTCCGCCCGGCTTGGAGGCCAGCATCTTTGCCAGACTGAAGCATCAGTCAGGCCGAGCTTGTGTGGGCGCGTAAAGTTATCCAAAATCCAATGCCCCGGCCCTAAACCGTCATTGAGCCCATATCCTAAACTCCGAAACGCGACAGAAGCTTCGAGGGGGTGCGCATCTTCTGCAAATCTTACCCAATTTTGGGAGATCCTGGCTGCGGCCAGGAAGAATTATTTAGCGGCTTCCCACATCTTGATGGGTTTCTGGATCTGGGCTTCATGTTCATGCATGCATCATGTCTTACAAGACCTCATAAACTTAAGAATGATCGTAGAGTCCTACTGTCACCAACTCGAAGGTGGTGGCGAATACCCAATAGATTGGGATCGCTTCCTCCTCCTCTGCGTGCAGGAGTATCGAAAGGCAGAGACCCCAGCCGAGTTTGTTACCAAAAAGCACGAGGCTGCGCCTTCCACGAAGCCCTGGAACACCTACACGCCGAAGTCCCAAGCCTTATAGCCAAAGCCCACTTCCGAAACTCTCGCCACTCAAGGCCTGAACCATACATTGCAAGCTCTCCCCGCCCAAACCTAAACCATCTTTCAAATCTTAAACCTAACCGGTACAAGCCCCAAAGCCCTCAACCCGGCCTAGACCTAATGTAGAAGTCCAGATAATTGGTAGTGTGGCTCCTTCTTGTATACAACGGGTCAGGTAGACGAGCAGTTGAACCCAATGTACGACGCCGGCTAAATCGGCAGCAGCCCCATGCACGAGAATTGCTATGACAAATGTAGAGCAACAACAGCCCCTGCCGTGTTGCGTACTTCTATATACGGGCGTACATAATTACCAATCTTATTTTGGGGTGCCTTATTAGAATGAAATGCTGGTATTATATATACTCCGCAAACCCTATTCCAATTATTAAGGCCCCCCATACTATAGTACCCGTATAGATCCCTTATAGTAACCCTGATAGACCACCAAACACAACATGCACGATCCATGGGCCTGTCTTCCTCAAACCACAAGTGCTGACTGGGCATATGAAAAAAATGAAACCCCTAACCCCTAAACCCGTAAACGCCAAACCCCATCGCAGGTGGTGGTGCCGCAAGAGACGGCGGACGGTGAGCCACACGAGGCGCTCAGCTTCAGGGTTGTGTAGTAATATGCCTTCACCTACCAAAACCTACAAAAAAGTAGGGTCCCTATGTATTCCATATTAGGGTTTATAATAAGAACCTACAAAAAAAGTAGGGCTTGGTAGGTTAAGGTAGAGGCCGAATGATAATTACCTGTATTGTTTTGGGTGGTTTCCTGATCACAATTTTAGTATAGTGGGCCACAACACCCTATTCCAATCATTAAGGCCCCTATAGTAGTTTCAGACTTGTGTATGAGGTAGTTAAAGAGCCAGGGACCAGGGCAGAGAAAGAGCGACACCGCACGCTTAGCTATCGGTGTTTTATCCAGGTGCTCAGGAGTGCCTGTGTTCGGTGCTTGCTGAGTCCCGGATTCTGTGGAGGCTTCCGATGGCGACGATCCTTCGGACGGCCGTTCCAGCGATGATGGTCGGCAAGCTGCAGAAACAGAGGCCAGAAGCATATATCGATTTGCTCCACCTTGCTGCACTTGTACTGCTTCCTCAACAGTCATGCAGGCGTTCTCGACAACTAAACTGATGCACTGTTGTGTGAGAGTGGTCATATGTGTGCCAGGCTGGGTGCTCAAGCTGATTCTGTAAGGATGAGTCGTGAAAAAGCAGCAAGAGGTTCAAGTCCAAGTCTATATAATGCTTTTGGTAAGAAGAAAGGTCTTGATTAAGTTTTATCATGCCAAGCGTGTGCAGAGGCCTGAAACGGTTTCTCTTCCATAGAACCGATGTTTGACAGACTCTCCTGTTTCCTGCACGCCGGATCCGATCAGGAGTGCGAGTCGTCAGCAGCCGTTGCTCAAGGGGCTGGCACCGAGGCATGCTGCCATCTCTATAACGCGATGAGAGAGTGTTTTCAAGACGAGAGATGCAGGAATCCCCCCCGTCCCCAACAAACCTCAAATAATTGACCGCCGGTGGAGACCTTTAAATTTTAACGCTACGCCGCCCGCCTCGGCTGTGTAGCGGCAGGGTGAGGGGGCAGTCGATGTTTTTTTATGCTAGGGCGGCCTGTCAAACCCGGTTGTTGATACGAAGTGCGAGGAATGGGTAGGGGAGGGGGTGGGGAGGGGGGGGGAGGGGGGGGGGGGGGGGGGGGGGGCGGGGGGGGGGGGGGTGAAACCATAAACCTCTAAAGGGGTAGCTCTAACAGGTACCTACAGCAATGGCTGCATGCTCATACATATACATTCCGCTGCCCATTGGCTCACAGTGGTTTTACCATATTGAGACAAGACAAGCTCTCCTTGCGTAGCAAGACAAAACAACTACTGTCCGTGTGCAGGGCGCTGCCCTTTGATCCTTAGGGAATAAACTGGTCATACACCTCCTTACAAGGAGTATCCCTTGGGGGTGTATCGGCACAGTTTTCTGGTAGCGGAGCCCGGAAAGGGCCGCCCGCCTCACAAAGTCCGCTACAGCGGTCGGCCTCGCCGAACGCTTAACCAAGCGGATAAGAGGCAGCACAATGTCGAGCTCGCATAGCGAAGCCGACGGCAGTTCCCAGTCCTCAGGGGGATATGAGAACGAAGAGACCTCCCAAGGTCCAGCTACTTATGTCGCACAGTCATATGCAACATCTGACCGCATGCTTGCATCATTAGGCATAACGCCCAAGATCGCGCCTGCCTATGATGGCACCACCTCGTGGTTTGAGTATGAACAGTTGATTGACGACTGGTGCGATATAACAACGCTGGATGACACCAAAAGAGGTCCGTCTCTCAAGACGAGGCTCTCCGGATTGGCCGCAGTACAAAAAGAATCACTCAACCGAGAAAGGCTTGCAGCCCCAGACGGAGTAGATTACTTCAAGAAGAAGATGCGTCCATTTTTCGTGAAAGGAGAACAGTACGTTTTCCTGTGGCGTTTTCTCGGCCTATTCAAGGCATGGAAGGGCAACCAAGACTTTGTGACTTGGATTGCTAAGTTTGAGATCGTGCTACAGCGCGTGAGAAACTCATGGATGGATCTCTTACCAGAGATAATTCTGGAAGATGCCCATCCGGATTTCATGCAGGCTGTGCAAGCAGATCAAACCTTCATGCGCCTACAGGATGCAACCGAGAGAGACACATACGCCGCACGTTTCTTCGAAACATGGAACAAGGAACGCCTTGATAATCATCGAAGAGCGTTTCCTCTAAATGATAATCTCCTAGCTCTCCTCTTCCTAGTGCAGTCCGACCTAAATGAGATGCAACGTGAGAGGTTGGTAACAGCATTGACCAACCAAGGTTACCGAATTGAGACCTACACGTACCCTATAGTACGGCAGACCATGTTCGATCAGTTCTCAACGACCAGAACTGGTCTGCAGGATCCCAATATTCGGCACACTTCTCACAAGAAGGACCGCCATGGAAGGAGAGATCAACGCCGCAAACGCGGAGGTCGAAACTTCCTCATCCTCGATCAGGGTGAATACGACGGAGTCGATGGATTCTGGCTCCAAGACGAAGACACCCTTGAGGAAGGCTTTCTTGCCGCCGAGGATGAAGAAGCTGTCTTCTGGACAGTTGACGACCATGAGGCCTTCGTTGCAAGGAGATTCAAAAAGGGAAGAAGACCAAGAATGCGTCCCGGATCACCGGGAAGAGCAAAGGGTGGCAAGCGAAAAGGACGTGGCCGTTTTAGGTCATACCGCGGAAAAGGGAGAGCCAACCAGGCAGAACATGATCCAACTGATTCCAGCTATTTCGGTAAAGGTAAAGGAAAGGAAAAAGGAAAAGGTGGAAAAGGCAAAGGAAAAGGAAAGGACAAAGGAGATAAAGGAAGCTCCTTCAAGGGTACAAAATCAAAAGGCAAAGGTAAGGATACAGCTAAGTCTGCCTCCTTACAAGGAGACCAAACTGGATCTCCACAGGCCTATGAAAGTTCCACCGCACCGAGCTGGGATTCATGGTATGAGGACAGTTATTATACTGACTCCAGTTGGAATTATGCCGCTTATGACGATCAAACGTCTTATACATACTATGCATCACAAGCCTCACGAAGAAAGACACGGAAAAAGAAGAGAAGAAATCAAGCAGGATCATCAGGTAGAGGCACAGATCCGAGCGCGCACCAAGAACCCGTGTACAACTCATCAGTGAGTTACGCGCCCCAGGTTTTTGAACCATCCGAGGGGCAAGGTGTGGAGACTGCAACAGCAGTGTTTCCGTTGCAGCACACCGTCCTATCTGCTCTCACCGAGCGGATCAATCTTGATAAGAGCCCTACCTTTGTCATACTTGACTCTGGTTGTACTAGGGCTATGGGTTCCCGCTATGCGGTGAACAGGCTTATCAAGGCCGTGAAGCAACATGCCCCAGGCATGATTGATTTCACTTTTTCACCTTCGAACACGAAGTTCTCTTTCGCAGATAGTGAAACAGCTCTTATCAAGGAGCGTGTAACTCTATGGTTTAACACAACTCCAAGAAGAGATACAACCATAGAAGTTTTGGATCAGGGAAGAGTCCCCATTTTGTTCTCCATTGAACAGATGAGAAATCTAAGAATGACCCTCGAGTGTAGTCCAACAGCTGACCTAGCAACGTGTGAGGCTTTCGGTTTGTATAAAACCCCTCTTCCGATTAGTACCAATAATCATTTGGTATTGGACCTTCTAGGCTTTACTTCCACCAGGAAGTACCTTCCTAAGTCAGGTACATCGTTCCGTGCGACGGAGACTGCTCTAGGAGCCAATAAGCCTTATGTTAGGATACCGGAAGGTCGCTGTCCAGCCTGTGCCGGACAGAAAAAGGCTCACACGTACCTCAAGGGTTGTGACAGAGCACCTGAGGGAGCAGCTGATCCACCACCGAAGAGGATTTCAGGGAAAAGGAAGCCTCTTCCATCTGATCCGGCAGAATCATCTGCCAAGAAACTTGATCCACCAGAATCATCTGGAGATGTTCCTGAGCCTTCCGGACCATCGGAACCATCATCAGGCTCTAGGGACAAACCTGCAGAATCCTCTGCACCACATGAACCTCCAGAAGAAGAAAGACTTGAGGTCCCACCTGCGAAGATAAAGACTCCAAAGGGTCTTAAAAACCTTCTGAAGAAATCCCGCAAATATGCGGTTAAACCTCCTGTTGAAGAGAAGTCTAAGGTCCCAGGAGCTGATGACGGGACGGAGGTAAGACCACTTGAGTCAAGAGAATACCCGGCTCCTGGCACAGACTCACCAACAGGTGAAGAGATTGTCGCAGAACCTTCGCCATCTCTTCCCATTGCTCTTCGCAGGATTCATGAGAAGCTTAAGGACCCTGTAGAACTCTATAAGCTTCACCTTAAGCACCGTCATATGAGTACGGATCAGTTCAAGCGACGCACAAAAGCCTTACAGATCCCAAAGGAGATCTACGAGCTATATGACCAACTGGTCAAAAAGTGTTCAGCCTGCCAGGAACATGTGAGAGCTCCTTCGAGAGCGAAGATTTCTGGTCTAAGATCAGAGACTTTCGGTGATCTCACCTTCGTAGATCACGGTGAGCTTCCAATTCCCGGCAAGGATAGTCGCTTAGTATTTCTTATTCTCTATGATGGAGCAACAAACTTGTTGACTGCCGAAGTAGTCCAGGATAAAGAAGAACATACTACAATGTCGATTATGAATGACTACTTTGAAAAATTTCAGATCAACCCAAAGGTTGTAGTTGGAGATCAAGCATTCATGACTCCAAAAATGGAGGCTTATTACAATCGGCAGAATATCAAGCCTGTGGCAACAGGACCTGGAACACCATGGCCCAACAGGGCCGAAGCTGCTGTAAGATTGCTGAAGCATCAGATTAAGCTCATACTTCAGATCCTGAAGGATGGTGACCCGCAGTATAACGGAATCACCATGAAGTATGGCAACCTCGTTCGCCAAGCATGTTTGGCAAGAAACTCTTCGATTACCTACGGAGGAGTTACTCCTTTAGAAATGGCCTTTGGAAGGCGTCCTCGAGATGTTATAACACCAGAGAACGCTGATCCCAATCAGTTGACAGGTAATCCAACTGATACGGAAGTCACTGCGAGAGCCATTAAGGAGCTTGCCAACAGGGCTTACCAAGAGGCACGCCAATCTGATGATCTGCGTAGAGATCTTGCAGCCAGACTGTCAATGACCCAAGGACCTTTCTCTTTGGGAGATAAGGTTTTCTACTGGTCAGAAGATAAGTCTAAGATTGGATCCACTGGGTCCAAACATGGATCTTGGCTAAAAGGTAAGGTGATCTCCGAACTCGGAGGATCCATGGTAGGTGTGGATCTTGGAACACGCATCGTCCGTGTCAATATCTCAAAACTGAGGAAAAACTATGACATAACATCTGATGTGGAGATTCCTCTCGCGCCTGATGAGGAAACTCTGACGTCAGAAGGTTCTGACCACGCAAGCTGCATGGTCACCTTCGATGCTTCCCTGCAGTCGACAGACCTAACGATTCCACATCAAGAGTGTCACTGGCAGGTCACCAGTACTGGGAAGATTGATTTTCTAGAACTCTACGGCGGATCTCCCCGCATGAGTCACAAGGCTGCCCTATCAGGTCTTCGAGTAGGTCAGCCAGTCGATTTGCGTAGCGGTCTAGATCTTGAGCAACCGCAAGGTCGCTCCAATCTTCTTAGGATCATCAAGGAACAAGAACCTACTATTATTGTTATGTCACCGACCATTCTCAGTGGTCTAGCTGGTACTCACAGTGGAAGAAAGGCTCTGCCAAGAGACTTTCTGTTTTAAAATTCTGTGAATCGGTCGCAGACCACCAAATGAAGCTCGGACGTTACTTTGTTCTTGAGAACCCATACTACAGCAGGCTCTGGTCTTCACCAGAAG